TCTTCCACGCCGAGCAGATCCAATCGTTACAGCGAATATGCTCAAACATCTCGAGGGAAGATGCCTCAGGTTATTTCCTCCTCGAAGAACTTCAACCGGGTGGATACTTCCAGGTGCTGGACTTCTCCATGTTGAAGGATACATCGATTCCAGATGACAAAGTACGAAAGATTGCCACAGTTCTTAATTGCTATAATTTAATAGTTTAATGTATTTATGTTACTATTATGAACATGAATTTAATATTGCTATGAACATGATTTCTTTGTGGTATTATAGCATATCGCGCTACGTTCTCGCTTCTAGAGGGAGGAATTTAGCTCTATAAGGACTCCATGGTATTTGAGCCCGTACACTGTTAAATACATATCACTTCAATTTATTTGCTGAGAATGCTTCGTTCGTAACGAGTGCTAGTAGGTGATACGTTTGTGTTGCGGAACAGCAAATAATATGGATTTGTACGTCTGAATAATAAAAGCATAATTCTCCTAAGCTGAATATTATTTTTATTATTTGTGTTTCAGTTGATATGTAACTACTACCTTTTGTGAGTTTTATTCAAATTTAAGGCTTTAATTTTAAAGTTGAATTGTTTTATTGTGCCTTTGTCATCTTGCTGAATTATGGTACAAAACAGTTTATGTACAGCGCACCATAAATCAGTTGAAAATGATTGTGTCATAGATATACTACTCGATGAACCAACTGCATTACATTATTCGTAAATGATTCATTTCTTGTTATCTTTCAGATTTTTTACTTTAGGTGATGATTAGAAAAGCTTTAGTTTACTACTATGTATAGGTTTTAAGTTGTTTGTTCTGTTCGTTTCGTCTAGAGGGAAGGCACCACTTGTTATTTCGTGCAAAAAGGCTTCACATTCTAATTTGAGTATATTTTACAGTATTTGTTAACCGTACGCCCAAGGCCATTGAATCATAAAAACCGCAATATTTTCCTGTTGATGTAAATTGATCATGATATTATGGGTTTATTAACAAACTGCTTGTTTTGGATACCGTTGTAGGCATTACAATTCCCTGTCACTTCTTCGGATTCATACGACGTAGTCGTGCCTTTTCCCCGTCTTGAATAGCCAAAAAAGGATTTAAGCAGGCCACATACCACGGCAGTTTTTTACACCCGCAGTGCGGTTGCTCAAACCCACTTGATTTTATTGTATAAAAAATTTTTTCTAACACTACCGGATATGCCTCGATCCGTAGGCATATATAATAAAAATTATACCCCAGTATTATAGTTATGCCAGCAAACTGCTACTCGGTACAGCTGGTAAGAATAAATATCTCCAGTCACTTCTCTGGATTCAAACACGTAGAAGCACGTACAGTTGCAGTTTTGCACCCATGTACTGAATGCTAAAAAGCATGAAACCTTTACCTGCTTAAGCAGCCCTCAGGCTACTAGGAGGTACTTTTTGGTGCGACCATGACGAGTTCATCCGTAGGAGTGACAGAAGATTATTTTCCTGACGTGTTTCCATTTAGAAACATTTTTGTTCTTTGTTTTCTTGCTTCATGGAAGTCCATAAATGCCATCATCGTTCAAATGCCTTTTTACGTTATGTGGTAATCTACCACTTCAATTCTTTTTTTCTTTAGTTTAGTATCTTTAATTCTTTAGTCTTTAGTTTGCATATTGACCTGTTTCTAACGTATTGATTCGTTTACCCCCTGTCCTCTGGGTTGAAGAACTATCTTGCTACTGCAGATGACGTTTACAGCAACCTAACTTCACCACATTTATTTTAAAATAACGCTAATGAGATTTTCGCTGAAGCTTTAGTATTGGTCGATCAGATTATAGAGCAGTTTTGTTTTAAATTGACCGTTTTCTGTTACTGTTTCGAAACATTGTGTAGTATTTTCATTCGAAACAATGGGTAACAGTGAATGGAATGGAACATTATTAGTCATTGACCATTTTCTTCCCTTAAAAGGCACCATTTTATTCCATGAAAATACATTAAAAACTATAGCTAAATGATGCGTATATGAAAAAGAACACTTTTAATTTTTGGCTGCTCTTTTTTGCTTATTATTACGATTTTTAGTTGCTCATTAGTTTCTGTGATCCGTCGAACCAGTCGGATCGCCCCGGATGGCCACTTCGTAATCTGCTTGCTCTTTGGGCAGTGCATCGGTAAAACTTTCAGTTTATTGTAAAATTTGCTGCTACCTGCAGTTTTATCCGAATCTTGTTGTTTCCTGTTTTCTGTTGACTGAGCAGATTTTATCAGTACATCTGTTAGGACTACTATTTGAGTTTTAATGACTTGATTTTCTGAAGACAGTAAACGTTTTAGAAAGAGTCCTTCTGTGTACTTTCTTAAGCTAGACAATCAACTGTATCGTGAAAAAAGACTATGGACCAGATATGTCTTAGGCGTAAATTAGTTTATATCAGTTGACATGAGAGACGAAGATTCCTGCCCAGAATGAATTCCTGTGCTGAATGAAATGAGACTCATCAATACATGCATAAGACAGTGCCGGGCAACAGGTAGTTACGATATTGAATATTCTTATGTGAACTGTAGTGTCAGAGTCGATAGTTCTCTCTGCTTTCAGACCAAACTCACGTTCGGTTCGTGTGTTATGTTGGAGGTTTCGTTACGAGAAGAATCGTTTGGACTGTAACCACAGTTTGGTTCTTGACGTCGCCTACGACAGGCCTGAGGAGTGCACCGGCGATGAGGGCACTCACGTATTAGACAACATTAAAACGGTGGGTTGGGAAAAAGACAAGTTTGGTCGCTTCTCCTCCCAGCACGTTGATCTCAGTTCCGCAATGGACCCCAAAAAGTATTTTTCAAAACTAACTATTGTGTGGAATTTTACTTGCTAATTGTATAGACTATCTGAAGAAGCTGTGCGTCTGAATCTGCATTTGATGCGCTGGCGTTTGGTTCCTGAGTTGAATCTTGATATCGTCAAAGACAACTCTTGCCTACTGTTCGGTGCCGGTACCCTTGGTTGTAATGTCGCCCGGCTACTAAGCGTAAACTTTCTAGTCTTCTCTATCGCTATTTCCTTGATAATAACTATTTGAAGGCATGGGGATGCAATAAAATATCCTTCATTGACGATGCCTGCGTATCTTATAGTAATCCTGTACGCCAGTCGTTGTACCTGAACGAAGACTGTGCTGACAGGAAGCCGAAATGCGACGCTGCGGTCGCTGCCATGAAGGCGATATGTCCGAACATCGTAAGCCATTTCGCCGTCTTAACGTTCGTTATTTGTTTTGGTTTCCTTGTTTGCAGAATGTTGCTGGCTACAACATCACCATTCCATCACCTGGTCACCCTGTGGACAGAAACGGTTCTTGTCTGTTAGCTTTAGTCTTATCTAACGCATATTATTATAGAAGCCGCTGAAGTTCTTAATGCCGTTCACCAGCTGGACGAACTCGTTCAGTCTCATGACGTCCTCTTTCTTCTGTTTGATACTCGGGAAGCTCGATGGCTACCAGCGATGTTAGGATGCTATTATAACAAGGTAGTGTAAAAAGTACTGATAAGTATGTAGCAAAATACTGATTCATAAAAATTACCTATTTTTATTAATGGTTCAAAGCAACAAGTTATTAGGACGACATAAAATCCTTTTTTACCCGATGTGTTTTATTGCACGCTGACGTCGTCATTGTAAAATGTACGTATAAACCGCGAAACGACGTTAAAAGAAACAGTTACAAGGTTATTTAAGCGGCGGAATCCGTTTTCATTAATTATTTCTATTGTTTTAATTTACATTTTCTTCCCCTGCTGATTTTTAGTCACCTATCAGGTGGGTCAAGGCGACTTTCAGCCGGGGGATCTATGCGTCAGACTGCATGGTTGTACCTATCACGCACTTTGAGATGACCATGCCAAGGCACCATTTTCTCCCTGATATTTGCACGTCAAGGACGTACAACCCGCTTTTCAGCTGGTTCCACTAAAACACTGTGGAACGAATTCATTGCTTATGAGAATTAACAATTAAATACAGAAAATTACACTGCTCCTGGCGTTTGAACCCAACCCCTTTAAAGTGCAAAACAGCTTACTAACCCATTGCGCCATGCCTCTTCGATCTTTGCCAGCAATTTGGCCGACGACTTTCCAGCATCACAGTTGTTACTCAAGTGAAATAAGCTTGTATATTCATTTCCTGTTTGGTTTTTATGAGAAAAAAATGCAAAACACATTGAAAACATGGAAAACAATCTGAATGCTACGTAGTCAAAAATCAAACCATCTAAATACGTTTTCCAACCCTCTATTTAACTCCAATGTCGTATAGTTTATATGATTAAATGCGGTCACAGTCAACTCATTTTATCT